CTACATTGCAGAAACTGTAAAGAATAGGTAAAATAATTGATGTGTTGTAATATTTGCTGAGGTTTTGCTAAAAAAGCAAAAGATCATTTCCTTAGGCAGTTGATCTCTATTTCTGGAATTCAGATGTCATTTAATACTAGGTTCATATTCTATGACATTGCTTAAGTGTCAAGAACAACTAAAAGTGACCCTATGAACAACAGATCTGAACCTCTCTCCCAACCTATGCCATCCTCACAATATCTAACACCCACCAACCCATTGTTGCAGTCACCATATCTGTCAGCCTTGTGGAAGGTCTTTCTTTTCTTTGCTGTCTCTCCACCTTACCAAACATAATGTCTCTCTCCACATAGTAACCTCTTCTAGCAATATGACCAAAGTTTGTGAGATGAAGCTTTATCATCTTTGCCTCCAACAAGCACTCTGGCTGTGACTTCTCCAAGACATGTTTGTTTGTTCTTTTGGCAATCCATGGGATATTACATATTCTTCTTCAGTACCTCCACAGTTCAGAAACATCAATTCTCCTTCTATCATCCTTAATCATTGTCCAGCTCTCAGATGCATAGCAAGTGACTGAAAAGACCATGGCCTGAATCAGGTGCACCTTAGTCTTCAAATTGTCATCACTGTTCCTCAATAATTTGGAGAAGTCCCTGACTGCCAACTTTCCCATTGCAATGTCTCCTGATCTCCTGACTGCTAGTATCAAGAGTGTTGATTGTGGATCCAAGTAAGAAGTTGTTGAGAGTTTCAGTCTTTTCTCCATCTTTCATAAGATTGCCTGTTCTTCTTCATACAATCCAGCCTCTCAAATAATTGGCTCAAGATACAGATTAAATAGAAAAAAAGGAGCTTCCTTGTCGCACGCAGTCTGCAGGGTGTTGCAGTGCTGAGCCAAAAGTCACACCTCTCTGACCACTGGAATCCACCAGCAGTTCCAAGGGAGAAAAGGATGGCTCGCTCCACGGAACCACTGTTGTCAAAAATGATTGTTAAAGGAATCATACTAGTTGAAGTTGTGGGTATTCCTGGAGCTTACATTTTGTTTAAGAAAATGAACTCAAGCCAAGATTTCAGAGAACTAATGGGCCAGAAGTATCCTGTAATCTTGAAAGTTTATTACAAGTCTATTGAACAATCTGGAATGTATGGAGTCAGAGAGCAAGATCGAGAAAAATGGCTGAACAGCAAAAATTAGAACCAGTCATCACGTTCAGCTTCCCATTTAAGCTGTTTGAGACCTGGGGAAGAAAGAGATGAAAGATGAGCCCACCCAACTGGACAGCTGGCGGTTCCATGGACCACCTGCCTGCGTGACCACTGTGACCTGAAGCTCACATCATATCCACTACACAAAGTCCACTGACTGCTGTTTTCTCTATGTATCAATATTTAAAACACTCATGGTTTACAAGTAAAAGATTATAAAAACGAAAAAAAAAAGATACAGATTAAATAGATAGGGAGAAATGATACAACCCAGATGCACACCTTTCCTAATTTAATGTTTAAGTGTAGGTAATATATTATTTTTCAAACAGTGCCTTTGTTTGATGCAAGGTGTAAGTGCTTTTCCTTTCAACCTTTGGCTGGGGCAGTGCTAATTTGGACTGATAAACTTCAATTAAAAAATAACTACATTTTCCTGTGCTTCTCAGGGCTCATTTTCTAGGCAATAGTTAAGGTTCTTGTTTGATATCTATTAACTTAGACTTGTTCATGTCTTTGTGTTGTTGAAACCTGAAAAATCTTTCCTGCTAAGCAACATTGACTTTGCATTTTCAACCGAAAGAATTGTGTGTTTGAGAAGTCAACATTTGTCCATGAAAACATTATCTCATGAAGTTTAATAGCATTTGGCTGGGATCCCTGGAAGGAAATTATTAAGTAACCAAAAGATAGTACTAATATAAAACAAGTAACATTCTCCATTGTAAATAAGTGTGTTTGTGCAAAAGTCCAGCCCTTTAATACGGGTTTTCTAGATCCTCCAGTATAAAAACAGATGCTGGCACATTATCCTGTTGCCAGTGCTTAAGCATAACCATCCTGGTGACAGTTTGAACATTTGACTGTAAAAACTCAACATGTTTGTTCTTAAATGATCCTATACATACCTTTAAGAATCATGGATAACTACAATGTAAGTTTAGTAAAGGCAAGAGGAAAATGTAACAAGCTGATTATCTCAACTTGTGAAATAATATATGTAGAATAGAAAAATGCCTACTTAACATTTATAACCCATAACATGTACGTTTACACATGTTCTTTTATTCCACATTTTGTAATATTGTTGATGAGAAGATCATGAAGCCATCCATCATAGAATCTTAATCAGCTATGTACTTAAGAAATGTACCTGTGATGTTTTATATGAATGCTTTGGTCATTAACCTCAAAAAGTCTAAATACATGCAGCAATGAATGAATGGAAATCCAAAATCTCTGTAAATGCTCATTAAAATTATTTTTTAAAAAGTTTAAATACAAATATCTTCCGTTTTATAAACCCAGAGTATTAGGGTTGGGGGGGGGGAGAGGGAGAGAGGGAAAATATTTAGAGAAGAGGGAGCATTCATTCTAGCTGAAGTGATGGACTAAGGACAAGATTGCCTTTGAGCAAGGTATTGAAAGGAAACTTAATGAAATAAAAATACAAAGCCATTTACACAAACTTTGTAGGTAAACCAGTGTAGAATTTATAAACAAAATGAATTGCAAGAATTTTTTTCTAAAATGACCAAAAAAAGAAAAGAAAAAAACCAAAGTCTCTATCTTCAGATAGGTCATTCACTTACCGTTTGTTCCAGTTCAGCCAGATTACTTAATCCTCTGTTCTTTAGCTGCTTCCTCTATAAAATGAGGTTTGAATAATAGTTATCATAGCCAGGTTTTGGGAATGTTCTTCATCTCAGCATGCTTTGTAAGTTCATACAGTACAAACGTTAGTAAATTTTATAGTAAGTGTTGAGAATGGCATGGACCAAAGGCATAAAATTGAAAGCTCAATAAGCCAGATAGAGCAAAATGTGTGTGAAGGTAATTGTGAATATTAATTATCTCGTACATCACTTGGGAAAATTCTCTTTGATAGAAACGTCTTTCGTTATTTTTGTTGATACTTTCTCTCTCAAAAGATATTAAAAGAGTATAGTAGGTTTAGGTACAGACAGCCTCTACTAACCTGGCAAGGAGAAAGAGTCCCCAGTAGGAGCAAAAAATTTATTCCTGTAACATCAGACATGCCTCACATGCGTGTGCACACACATGCTTCACGTGCATACACACACATGCATACCTTCCACACCTTCTTTTACCAATTCCAACACTACCCTACCACAACTCTACTACTCAGTTCCCTGATATGTTGCAGTGGCCACACAGAACTCACAGTACTCACAATTAAGGTTTTTAGTAGGGACGTACCATGTTACAATTTGGGTCAGAAACACTTAGGATACATTTCTTCAGTCAGGACTACCTCTTCTCAGCCAGGCTCGCAGGCAGGCAGGCCTTTCTCTGACCCTGGGCCTCATGACCTTGGCTTTTGCCCCAGGCTCAGGCAAATGTTACAAAGCTCTTTTAGTCCTTCCAATAATGTTTCCCTCCTATTCCACCAGACCTGTATGCTTGCCTCTACTTCTGAGTGGGTAGACCTAGCCTCAACAGTCTCTGACACTGCTCTCTGGTTCACCACCACGCCTTCTGCTTCTTGAACTGCGGGTCTCTGCCCTGTTGTGTTTTGGTCTCACTCCATCTTGTGCAGAAATATCCAAAGGATGTGCTGCACTGTCTGCATCTTCTTTCTTGGTAATAGTGAGAATCCTATTTCCTCCCAATGAACCTGTTCAGTTTAAGCCTGGCAAGATGGAAAACCTGACCATTCCTCACCTTAATTTTGTGCATCTTTTATTTGCATGTTCTCACCTAAAAGATGCCATTTAACTTCTTCATAACATTAGCAAGCTATCCAGCCCCCTTGTGGTCTACAGACCTGTAACTTTTTTCTAGCCCTGCAGAGCCATATTGTAGAACGTTTAAACCTACATTGGCCAGTCTGCTACAAAAAATCATTTCAGAGGCCTTTAAGGTCTTCAGATGAAAGTTGTATGAGTTCCAATGTTTTGTTTCATTGAAGTCATGTAAACAGTATATGCAGAATTATTTTCCAGTATACTTTATAAGCTTTAAGACAGCTAATGTATCTTGTAAATTATATTTATCATATGGTTTAGACTACATAACTGCCATGACAATGTTTGATTTAGAGAACAAGTCTGCATGTGCTTGGTTACATCAGAATTGCTCATTTGTACAAGAGAACAGCCTGTGAATTATTTATGCAATTTCCAGATACCATTGTATCTCATGTTACTGGTAGTTTTTATAATAGTTAATGAAAGCATTGTTGTTGGTTTTTTTAAAAAAAAAAAAAGATGTCCCTTATCTGGTGGGATGTTGGTGATCCATATTCTCTGTTTTAAGGCATTTTATTTTTAAAATGTTGGTTAAGAAGCATACTCAATAAACTTTTCAGCAAAAATTAGGCATTCTTGCGCAGAAGAAGCATTTTGCCTTAAATTTTGACTGTTTGGCCACTTGCTGTCATTTAGTATTGAGTCTTATTATTTATCTAAACTGCAAAGAACTGTAAGCTTCATTCTTTCTCTAAAAGGCAAAGAGCTTAGAAAACAGCATTTTATTTGAATGCCAAATCTACTTTATTAAATGCAAAATACTAATTTTAAAACACCAGAACAATTGCTGTTGGGTCATTTCTAGCTAATATTTGTCAGTAGCATATGCTCCATTGGGTTTTTGATGGCTGATGTTTCAGAAATTGATAATGGAATACTTCTAGGGTAGACTTGAATCTCTAACCTTTTAATTAGCAGCCAAGTACATTAACCACTTGCTGGACCCAAGGAATTGCTGAAGACTAGGTGAGTTGTTTTATTGCAGTGAATAATTCTAAATTCTCTCTTTTATAGATTATCTTGCTAATCATGGCCGGTTAAATGAGTCTGAAGCCAGGCGTAAATTCTGGCAAATCCTGTCTGCTGTTGATTATTGTCATGGGCGGAAGATTGTGCATCGTGACCTCAAGGCTGAAAATCTCCTGCTAGATAACAACATGAATATCAAAATAGCAGGTAAGTGGGACATGACTGGGTCTGCTGAAACAAACCTGCAGAAATGAAGTGAGGATAGCTTCTATCTGATAACATCAAGCTTTCTCAGAGTGAAATTTCTCCATTCAATTACACAAAGCTTTATACATTAGTTAAAAGTAAAGAAAGTAAGTTCCTTTTGAACATACACAGTGGTATATCTACAACTGAGGTCTGATTTTTATCCTCAGTCTGACTGTCCCACGTGGCTTTGTTGAAGGGAGCTACAACAAAGTGAGTATGAGTGTTTGGACGAACTAGCCTACTGGTGCTAGAACTGCCTTACTAATTATGGATGATGGCCTCAGGAGGTAGCATACAGAAAAAGGAAGTAATGGAAATAGAATGAGAAAGGTTTGAGTCACATTAGTAACTTGCCCTACTCTGGTTAAACAGGATTTTGATTTATAAAATAGAAATTAGAGGTAGGGATTATTTTTGTTTGTTTCCCCTTAACTCTTTTTACAATTGAAAAAAACCTTTACATTCTCGGTTTCTTTTTTCACATAGATAAAACTCATCCATTAAATAAGTATTTACATGTCAATTCTGGAGCTACAAATCACAAAGTTATTTCCTCTGATCTTAAAACTCTGGTGGAAAGGGATATATAATTAAAGTCTGGATGACATTTACTGTAAATGTGATATGTATGAAGTGCAGTGGGAGTGGAGGTGGGGACTTCAGTCTCTCTGAACAGAGAAGCTTCACAGAGGAGGAACTATTTGAGTTTAGTCCTGAGAAATGAATTAGAAACTTGCCAACAAGATAAATAGAATAGACATTCTAGCCAGTGTAAATACCACAGGCATGAGAGAGATTGAAAGTAGAAAAGTGGGAGACTGTAGCCTTATAGTATTTAAATGTAAAAATCAGTAGGAATTGGAGATTGACATAAAAGAAGTTAGTTTATAGGTAATAAGTTCAGTCAATTGAAAATTTTATGGCAGGAATAGAAGGCAAAGTCCAAATAGGATAAGACAGTGAGATTTGGATACTAGAAAGCTATCTCTGACAGCATGGATAGGAGATGAGAGGAAGATTACAGAAAGGAAGATTAAGGACTTTTTTATAGTCCAGTTAAGAAAATGTGGAGCTGAAGGAGAACAGCAGCACTAACAGTTCAGTATGTATTTAGGATGGATAGAGGAAGGGAAATTTCATTTTGGTAGAGATTTAGAAGGTGGTAAGTGACACAACTCAAAAGGTTATCAGAGTTACAAACAGAAGTGTTTTGCTCTAGGATTGTGAAAGAGGAGCTTGGAGATGTCCAGATGAGAGAAGCAGAGCCAGAAATCACTGATTAACTAGCCCAGTTGGATCCTCACTGGATCCAGCTACTTAGGAGGAAAGTATCTGCTTTGGTTTTCTGCCTTGGGGTGCAAATAGCATTTAAAAGCTTCTGACTTGTGTACTGGACCAGGGAGGTTTTGTATCATTTCCTGGCAGTTTTTCTCTTGGGCATTTTGGGGAAGGTAAACAAGCTTTATGTCTTTTCTTTTAAGTGCCAGGTTTACATATGTAGGAGAAAGAATGGGTTTTGCGTTCTTTAATCTGTGGTTTTCTTCCTGAAAAAGACATAGTGGTTTTAAAGTTAGTTTGTTATGTTTCTATGTGTGTATATAAATATGAACATATTTGCATATATATATATTTATTTGCCATTTTAGTTTTGAAAAGATCTTATATAATGTTAATGTTCTTATAGTTTCTATGTATGTTCACAGATGAACACACAGTTCTGTAGAATAAAGGAGATAGATAATCCTTCACCTTTATATTCCTTTATTGGTGAAACAAAAATTCACAAAAATAATACCTCAGGAATTCTAGATATCTCTTTAAGGAGAAAAACATTGTCATTAGGTGTCACCAAGTCAGCACCAACTCTAATGACTATATATACACGACAGAGTGCACTCTTAACCTGTCCTGTGCCATCCTCACAGTCTACTGCACTAAGCCCATTGTTGCCGTCACTATGTCAGTCCATCTCACTGAGGGACTTTCTTTCTGTCTCTTACTCTGTAATTTTTCAGGTGTGATTTATCTTTCCAGAGACTGGCCTCTCTTGATAACATTCCCCAAGTATGTGAGACAGAATCCTTTTTTTTTTCCATTATTTTTTGTGCATGTACCGTCAAATCAGATCTGACTGGTACAGGAGGAAATTGTCCTTCTCTGGCAGAGCATCTGGTGGATTTGAACAGATTCTCACCACTGGACCAATTGGCAGCATCAGGATGGATGGTGAAGAGATTGAGATTATACACAGCTTTAGTTTGCTTGGCTCCATAGTCAACAGTCTTGGCATCAGCAGCTAGGAAATTAAAAGGCGCATTGCCATGGGAAAGTCTGCTGTTAGGGACCTCTCCAAAGTGCTGAAGAGCAATGGTGTCTCTCTGGAGACTAAGGTGTGTCTGATACATGCCATGGTCTTCGCAATCACCTGTTAGGCATCAGAGAGTTGGACAATGACCAAGGAGGATAGAAGGAGAATTGATGCCTTTGAGCTGTGGTGCTGGAGAACAGTATTGAGAATACCATGGACTGCTAGGAAAACAAACAGATTTGTCCTGGAGAGGGTTAAACCGGTGGCTCCTTGGAGGCAAGGATTCTGAGGCTCCGTCTAACTTACTTTGGGTTTTTTTTTTCTATATTTTATTAATTTTCATAAACATTTACAGAGATTTTGGGTTTCCATTCATTCATTGTTGCACTATTCTCTCTACCCTCCTCCCAGTTTGTTCTTGTCCAAATGCCACAGTGCTTGTCAAAGCCAGTTCTGATTAATCTTCTTTGTCAGTGTGTCCTTTGCCATTCCCTGTCACTCCTCCCTGAGAGAGACTTCACCCTGAGTCATAAGGAAAAGGGGATGGCGTATTCTCTTAGCTACTTCCTGCTGAAAAGGGACGCTGTGGGTTTCAGGGTGAAGATCTTCTCTCACTACTCTAAAGGGCCCCTTTGGCAGTAGGAAACACATAGACTATTATGGAGATTGATTTTGGAATTTAGATGCACTCTTATTGATTGTGCTTGGCCGTACATGTTCATATGCTTGAAGATGTATCATGGGGGTGTTGCAACCTAGAAGACACAAATTTGACTAACAAGTTATAAGTACATGAGTCCAAAAATTATGGAAAAGTAAAAGAAAAGATTCTTTCATTGTTTTACAAACCCTCCCCCAGGTCCCCTTCACCATGTAGCCCTCGCTCTAGTCTCCTTCCGTCTAACTTACTTTGGACATGTTGTGAGGAGAGACCGGTCCTTAGAGAGAGGGACATCATGCTTGGGAGGGTGGAGGGACAGCGCAGGAGAGGAAGGCCCTCTATGAGGTGGATTGATTCAGTGACTGGGATAATTGGGATGGGAGTGTCAGAGACAGTGCGATTGGCACAGGACAGAGCAGAGTTTAGGGCTGTTGTACATAGGGTCACTATGAGTCGCAGGCGACTCGACGGCACATAACAACAACATATGTTGCACTCCTAATCACAAAATTGGCAGTTTCAGTCCACCAGCTGCTCCACAGGAGAAAGTCTACTCTTAGTAAAATTTATAGCCTCAGAAATCCAATGTCAGATCTCTATGCATCAGAATCAGTTCAACCCAATCAGGGTTTGGTTTGGTTTGGTTTGGTTTGGTTTGTTTTTATTATGTCTACAGTAATTCAGATCTAAAATATAGATAAACTCAATGTTTCTGGTGTCACATGAGTTGCTTTTATTTTATTCATCTTTTTTATGTTTGTTTTTTTACTAGTTGAACTCCAAAATCTTCTAATTATTTGGAATGTTAAATACCTAAAGCTGTCCTAGTTGATATGACAGCCAACATTTTATTGAGCCCTCACTATTTTCAGATATTTTGCTAGATATCTATTTGCTAGGTTTCAGAGCAGTTCTGAGAGCTGTATGGTTATGGCCAGTTTTTAGATAAAAAAGCTGAAACTTAAGGAAACAAGGTAATGCAGATTATAAGTAGCAGGCTTAGAATTCAAACTTAGATCTTTCTGATTATACAGTATTCATGTTTCTTCCTTTACCCTGTGTCAATTATTCTTCAGAGAATACAAGCAAGTTTTATGTTTTATCATCCTGTATTTATACATTTAATGATCTTATTTCTATCCCTCCCAAGTGCATACACACATATTCATACATACACCCCACCCCACCCCACCCCCATTAGCAGCTGATTATGCCACTGGACAAAGTTCTAGAGATTCAGACATTTCAACATAACAGAAAGGCTCAACTCTTTTCTCCCTGCAAGGAGTTAACAATCAAGTAAAGAAAGAGATCTTTAAATAAATATAATACAAAAAGATAATTGTTTTAAAGGCCATGAGAATAATAGAAAGACTGCCTGAGGAAGTCAGGGAAATTATTAGCTAAAACTTGATTAACAAGAAGGCATTTGTGGTGGGGTTGAAGGAAGGAGAGAGACACAGAGAAAAAGCTAGTTTTTGAGAGCAGAGGATAAGGGTGACTACTCTGAGCAATAAGATATGCAAAAGTGTAGAAAACCTAGTGTTTAGTGGAAACTACATAAGGCCAGAGATAGTGGAGCATGAGAAGTGATAAGAACATGGATAAGAAGGTATGGGCCACATCATGAAGAGTTCCACTTGCCGTACAAAGTTTTGATGTGTTCCAGTGTCTTTAAAATAATCCTCCAGAATTTTTCTTTTTAAATCTTATTTAACTTGTTGAAAATATGCACAGCAAATCATACACAAATTCAACAGTTTATACATGTGCAATGCGGTGACACTGAATGTATCCTTCATGTTGTGCAAGCGTTCTCAGCTTTTTTTTTTAGTTGTTCCTTCCTTGTTAACATAAACTCACTGGCTCCTTAGGGTACCTTTGTAATAGTTATGCTGCTAACCCAAAGGCCATGCCTTGCTGGCAGCTGGAATAAACCAGCAGCTCCAGAGGGGTAGGTTGGACAGTCTCTTCCCATGCAATTTATTT